CTATTCAAAGCATGATGACTCATATTTATATGCCACACTTCTAGGCAAAGTCTTTGACCATAGCGATTGTTTGTGGTAATTACTTTAGAGTTTTCCCACGCAATCTTGTGTTTGGTGTAACATACATGTTCGGCTAAAGCTGAATTTCCCTTGTCTAATGTTGAAATAGCCTTTTGATGTTCTTTTAGCCGTGTACCAAACTGGCGTTTAGACTGACCCAAATACTCTTTCTCGCAGTCAGCGCATGGTATAGAATATATAGCATGAGTCTTCTGATTTGTTTCAACAGGATGTTTCGGCCTTGCGAAAATATGGCCTAAAGCCAAATAGGGTTTTAAAGCAACCTTCATATTACAATTACTTAAGATTCTCTTAATTGGTTCTGTGACACCTTGAATGTATGGGTGGGGGCGGGGGGGGGGGGTGCAATAGTTCCATACATTCAAGGTGTCACAGAACCAATCAAGAGAATCTTAAGTAATTGTAATATTAAGGTTGCCTTAAAATCCTATTTGACTTTAGGCCATATTTTCCCAAAACCAAAAGATCTTGTTGAAACAAATCAGATGACTCATGCTATATAATCTATACCATGCAATGACTGCGACAAACAATATTTGGGTCAGTCTAAACGCCAGTTTGGTACACGACTAAAAGAACATCAAAAGGCTGTTTCAACTCTAGACAATGGAAAATCAGCTTTAGCCAAACATCTATGTTACACCAAACACAAGATTGCGTGGGAAAACTCTAAAGTAATTACCACAAACAATCGCTATGGTCAAAGACTTTGCCTAGAAGCGTGGCATATAAATATGAGTCATCATGCTTTGAATAGGGATGACGGTGCCTATTTGCCACAGGAATATATTCATCTTCTTGGCAGGTGACGTCATCCCTTGGGTATTTAAGAAGCCACGATCGCAGTTTTAGATCACCCCTGATGAAGATACTAGACTGGAGTGTCGAAACGTTGGGTCTTGGTTTCAAAATAGCTAGAGTAGCGAGCGAAACATGAATAATCTTAGCTAATATAACACTTCGTCGCAAATATAAAACTTCTCTGCAATTATAGAACTTCGTCGCAAATATAAAACTTCGTTTTAAATAAAAGCTTCGCTGCAAATGTAAAACCTCGTTTTAAAGATAGAACTTGGTTTTAAATATAGAATTTCGCTGCCAATAAAAATAATCTTTGCGCAATAGGAGACCAGGATCCATCGGCCATTACAAGATCCATTACATGAAGTACGTACCTTACCCGTATTTTGAACATAACTTTTAATGTATGCGCCACATTCCGGCTGCAATATTTTGAGCTCCTACATTTTTACTCCATTCTTATTGTCGTTTCTTCGTTTTTTCGCGTTTACCGTTGCTGGCAAGTCATCAAGGAATTTCTGGACATATTTAGTGCTAAAATATTGGTTATATCATGTTCACATACTCGAGAAACTATCTTTTATCGTTGCGAGGTTTTGGAAGCATATCAAACTCACTGGAGCGAACGTTTCTTTACCCCAGATTTCGCCATCTGTATGGACAGTGATTCGTTCTTATGGGTTATTGGGAAGTTTAAGAGGATCAAGAGGAGGAAAGAAAAGATGTCTAAACCGGGTTTATTCGATACCCATTCTTGAAAATCGATATCGTACAATATTTGTTAGGCAAAATTCTGGTGTAAATGTGTCAAACTTATTAAATATTCAAAGTCGAACAAATTGCAGTGTGCAACCAACCGTTCCACCAGACAATACTCCCAGAATAAATAATAGATCGAAGCTGAAAATTGCACATTTAAACGTTCGTTCAATAAAAAACAGAGATCATTTTCTCCAAACTAAGTTTATCGTGCAAGAAAACGAATATGACATTTTCGCTGTTTCTGAATCTTGGCTAAATTCGACAGTCCGAAATGCGGACATAGAGATTGAGGGATATTCGTTGTCCAGACTGGATAGATTAAATAAAGCTGGAGGAGGTGTTTGTGTTTATACGCGGGCCTCGTTAAAAGTAAAGATTTTGAAAGATTTGACGGGAATTTCGCCAT